TCTGAGTTGGCGTTTCAATGTCTCCCAGGCTGGAGTGCAGTGGCACGCTCAAGGCCACCACAGCCTTGACCTGCTGGGCTTAGGTGATCCTTCTGCCTCAGCCTTCCAAGTAGCTGGAACCACAGGCACACACCACCATGCCTGGCTAAGTTTTTGATTTATTGTAGAGATGAGGTCTCACTAAGTTGCCTAGGCTGGTCTCAAACCCTGGACACAGGCAATCCTCTCGCCTCCCAAAGTGCTGGGATTATAGGCTTGAGCCACCGCGCCCGGCCATTGCCTTTTTATAAATTAATATTTTGCATTGCCCCTTATGCTAACTTGGAATGAAAATAGTAACATTAAGTATTTACATACTTTTTAAAAAGTATAATATTTTGATTATAATATAAAGGAGAAATAGGAAATAAATTTACAATAAAATGTGTAATAAAATATGTAAATAGTCGAACAGAGTACACTAGATGACAGAATGAGGTGCTTGCATCTGTACTTAAAGTCACTATCAAGATAATAGCTGGATAAACTGACTGATACAGTCTTAGATTGGTGATACGGATACCAAAGTGGAATTGACATTGGTTACATAATTATCCAAAAAGTTCATGTGAATATCAGAAGTGAAAAAGATGAAATTTAAAAATTAAAAAAAAAAGATTTTCCAAGATGATTAACTCTTAGCAAAGTTCTGAACAAGACAGATTTATAATATGGCTGCATTCTGGAATATTTGGAATACATTAACACTCTGAAAAAAACGCATCTTGTTTATATGTTAGTTAGGTTCTAGTCTTAAATATATTCAATAGAATCTTTGAAAATTATCCAGAACATGTGACACTTTTTTACCCTATGAGATTGTTCCCTCCCTTGCTGGATCTCCTGTATCCCTGGCACTTGCCCGTTAAATTCTAGTACAATAAAAGCATCCCCACCTCTATTCCCCAAAATGCCTCCAAAAACATACAAAGGCGGGGGAAAACCCTTCCAGTCGCCTCCTGCTGCCAGGAGCTTTCCTGTCTTCTAAATAAATTCCTGCTTACTCAAAAACAAAAACAAAAACAAAACGCAAAACAAAAAAAACATACAAAGGGCCCTCTAGGGAGCAGTGCAGCTACCACTGAGGACCACTGATTTCTAAGTAGTGTCCATTTTCTACATTAACCTACTACATAACTATTGCTCATGGAATTTTAAAACCCGAGTAACTTAAATATTCTAGGTCCTTAACTATGATATGTTTTGAATATTTAAGACAGCTGGAAAATTGGGGATGAAGTTGATTTTTTTTTTCAAATTCTTCGTTTTATTGCAATTCATATAAGCAAATCAGTAAGTTTACTCTTTGAAGTCCCCGATATCCTGCATTTTCTTTATTTTTTCAGTTCTTCCAGTCTAGTGAGTCAGGAGTATATAACTTACTTTAATGTCATCATTTGCTTAGTTGACAGTCATACAATGTCATTTTTCCCTTTAAAATACACTTCTTAAATTAGGAAGGTAATATGGTAGCATTACAAAAACTTTGTAAAATGGAGGAAAATTTGTCTGTAATCATACTCTCCTAACATTGTTAATATTTTCAGTATTTTGTTCTTTATTCATATATTTTGACATTCAAAGGTTTTTATCTTTTCACTTAACATGGCATAAATTTATTATATAGCTTCAAAACCATTATGTAAATTACTGCATCTTGTTCTATTAGATTGAACAATTTAACCTTTTTCCTACCTTTCAATTATTCACATAATAAGCATGATTATATATTTGTATGTGTACATATATGTATTCAATTTTTATTGATAGATCTGTTTCAGTATATTTTTCCATTAGAATAGATTCTCAGAAGTGTTATCATTTATTGGGTCAATAAGCCTGGACTTTTTTGTAACTTTTGTTAAATTTTCAAAAATTGACTTAAACAAATGAAGCTCATTTGTTTATATTGCCATCAGCATATATGATTTGTCAATATATGGAATTTCCAGTTTCACCTTATCCTTGACTTCATCAGAAGTTGCTTTTAAATTATTTACCTTATGCTAATTTGATTATTAGTGACGCTGAACATTTTTTACCCTTGTAAATTATTTTTATTTTCTCTTTTACAAAATGTATGGTCATGTTATTTGACTACTGATTTACTTGGTTCTTGCTGCTTATTTTTTTTTCCCTTTTCATTTTTAGTCAGACCTCTTAAATAGGTAAAACATTAATGTTTCTTCCAGTCATTTTTGTGGTAAATATATTCTTTCCTGTCTTTTATTTCGATTTTTTTCATATATAGAAGTTTCACATTTTTATGAGACTCAACGGTTATCTATCTTAGAAGGTAATATGTGATATCAAAGAACACAGGAGAGGAAGTCAAGAAATCAGGGTTCTGGAAAGAGGTATTTATAATACTTGTTATATTTGAAAAGGATTCATATCCAAAATGTATATGAGGATGTTTACAAATCAATTAGAAAAAGACAGACAACCCAATTTCAATAAATGGGGAAGAGCCCTAAACTGGTGATTTATAAAAGGTATCTAGATCTCTAAACCATCTGGCAGCATGTATGTTGAATGAATGCAAACTGTTTTTACATTACTTGTTTAAAACATATTTTAAAATATGTATTTTTGGAAAGATATATTGTAAAGCCAGATTTATATTAAAGTTTGGTTATCCAGAGTATAGACACTGTATTCTTGGTGTGGCCAGTCAGATTTTACTGTACTTCTGTAGGAGAGACATCAGGTTTTTTGCCTTATTCTGCCTTTTTTGTTTTGTTTTTTAAGTCAGAGTCTCACTCTGTCACCCAGGCTGGAGTGCACTGGCATGCTTACAGCCATCGCAGCCTCAACCTGCTGGTCTCCGGTGATCCTTCCATCCCAGCCTTCCAAGTAGCTGGAACCACAGGCATGTGCCACCACACCCAACTAATTTTATGATTTATTGTAGAGACGAGGTCTCGCCATGTTGCTCAGACTAGTCTCGAACCCCTGGGCTCAGGCAATCCTCTTGCCTCTGCATCCCTGAGTGCTGGGATTATAGATGTGAGCCACTGCGCCCGACTGCCTTATTCTGCCTTTAATAGGAAATTATTTTTGCGGTTTCTTTGCCTGTTGAATATGATGTTAATTTTTACTATCCAGCCACTACATATTATCTAGGAAAAATTGTTCATTAGGAAATAGTAATCTTTTTAGATCTTGTACCTTTATCAGGCTTAAGGAGTATTTTGGGTTTCAATGACTCTACCAAAGTGTGAGACAATGGAGAAAAAAGGAAGTGGTGAAAATATTGTGTCACAAAAAAGCACATTAAAAATAAAATCCTACATCAAATGTACAAGTACATGTGGTTGTTTTTCTTATTCTTCATCATAGGATATAATGTGAATTATTTTTATCTTTGCAAATGGAACAACACTAAGAAATTCATCCTGCCTTGTAATAAATGCCTGTTTTGGATTCGTACATCTCAGCTAATCATTATGTGAGCTCCAAGTTACTCCTTCTATACATGGTTATTCCCATCTTACAGAATCTATTATAAAATATAGTGATTTTAGCATAATTCTGTGTATGTCCATGGACATCTTTTCTTAAATTATCTGTTAGATTTCCTAACATTCTTTTTTATTATGTAGTGTTTTATTTCTTCCTCCCGGACATTGCCTTTTCAAGCTCTCTTTGCCAACTTCCTTCTCACATATAGACTCCTCTTTTTTCTTGAGTACACATTGAGTACCCCTTATCTGAAATGCTTAGGACCAGAAGTGTTTTAGATTTTGGATGTTTTTCAGATTTTGGAATATTTGCATTACTACTTACAGCATCCCCAAACCAAATATCCCAAATCCAAAATACTCATGCTCAAAAAGTTTCAGATTTCATATTTTTGGACTAAGGGTACTCAACCTGTAATAGCTGTTTACACAAGATAGACATTCACCAACCAACCTATTATTACTCTCTTTATGACTTAGTTCCCTTTGGATACTTACCTAACCCTCAAAGGGTATATATATTTTTTTAGACAAATTCACACTCCAGGTACATTTTTTTCTTACATAAATCTCAGGTGTTCCATATTTTCCCTTCCCCTCAAGCCTGGACTTCTGTTTGTCTTTCCTTAGGATATTATATAACATCATTGAATAATCTTCCAACTGGATAGTCTTCCTGGGTTTGGGAATGTTCTTCTCCTCAGAACTGTCATCCCTCAAATTTGAACATCTCCGATGTATTCAGACCTTTCTTTACCTATGTTTTCCTGTCATAACTCTTTTCTGACACATATTTTAATATTTTTTATTCAAGAAGATACAGACACCTACACACACACACACACCCCACACCCTACACCCTAGACTGGGATATTAGCTTTTTCAGATATCTTGAATTCAAGATACAAGGTATTATTTTATCTTCTTCCTGAGACACATGGTCTATTTATAGTATTCTTAGACTCTCTTTTCAGTGTTTTCATAGAATGTGAATTGTGCCTTTTCTGGAAGAACTTAAATGTGTATTGCATGTACAAGGGTAGAAAATACTTATTTTAAAATTCTGAACACATTTACTATTGTAAAAACAATGTTTAGTAGATATTAATCTGCATCAGTAACAGAGGACCATATCTTGTACCTTATTTACTTTTATGAAAAATGTTATTGCCGCACGTCCTCCAGTAAAACAGTTAGTTGCTAGTTTTAAATTTTAGATCAGTTTTTCTTTGCTACTTACTTCTTCTATCTTTTTCCAGCTATATTTAGAGAGTTCAAACTAATTTTGTTCTATGCAAAAACTTAATGAGAAAGGAAAGTCTGTTCTAAGCGTCCAAATATAAACTGCTTTTGTGTGATCTGTAGTTTTATGAACCATACCATAATCTTTTGAAGGAATAACTGAGAAGTGACTTATTAATAGATGAGAGGGGGAAAAGTCATGTTGTAATATCTAAATGGAAATTTTGATGTTCAGTTCATCTGTGTTTTATTTAGATGTCCCTGGTAGATTTGGGAAAGAAGCTTTTAGAAGCAGCACGAGCAGGTCAAGATGATGAAGTTCGTATTTTGATGGCAAATGGAGCTCCTTTTACTACAGACTGGGTAAAGAATTATTTTAATGTTGTGGTGGGTTTTTTCTTCTCCTCCTTCTCGTTTTTGAGTTTTTCCAGATAAAAATTTAATGAGCATTGCAAATGGTAAAAAAAATTTTTTTCACATTTGTTTGCACTTTTAGAATCATAACTATCTTTTAAAAGGAGTGGCTTGTATTATTTTCTTTTATATTGGGCAACCTTACCCAAATAGTCTGTCCACAAAAGAGTTTTTCTTTTAAACTTCAGAGTACACTAATGTGAGATGAATAGTAAATGTAACTGCTTGGTATTTACTCTAAAGATCTTATGGATAGTACATGTAGAATTTATAATTCAGAAAGAACACAAAGATTGGAGTTCAACCTCCTGGGCTCAGGAAATCCTTCTGTTTCAGCCTCCCAAGTAACTGGGACTACAGGTGCGTGCCACCACACCCAACCAAATTTTTTTTTATTTTTTTGTGGAGACAAGGTCCCACTATGTTGCCTAGGCTGGTCTCAAACTCCTGGGCTCAAGCAGTCCTCTCACCTAGGAATCCTGAAGTGCTGGGATTACAGAAATGAGCCACTGCACCTGACAAATATCTTAAAGAAAATCTTAAGCACACTACTGAGTTAGAAAGAAAGCAAAGGATTATGGCTGGGCTTGGTGACTCAGCCTGTAGTCCCAGTAGTTTGGGAAGCCGAGGTGAGTGGATTACCAGAGCCCAAGGGTTCAAGACCTGCCCAGGCAACATGGTGAGACCTCACCTTTACAATAAATCAAAAACTAGCTGGGCGTGGTAGTGCGCACCTGTAATTCCAGCTACTTGGAAGGCTGAGTGGAAGGATTGCCGGAACCCAGCAGGTCGAGGCTGCCGTGGCCGGGAGCGTGCCACTACACTCCAGTCTGGGCGACAGAGTGAGACTCCAACTCAAAAAAAAAAAAAAAAGGATTATCAACCTGAAAAACTAAGTGAATGCTGGAAGCCATATTAATTTTACCCTGTAGAACATTTGCTGAACTAAAATTTGCCTGTTGGTTTTCCCATCTCACTGGCATGCAGTACTGGGGCTAAAGACCTGGGACTGCTCATGGAGAGAAGTCTAATAGGAGATTCCCTTTGCAAAATTCTGAAATTGCAAAGAGCTGTGCCTTCAATGTAAGAGTAAAGCAGAGATACCCCTTCCCTCCTCCTGCCTGCTCTTGCCCCTGTACCTGTTGCTAGGATACCTTGTGAAGAAAATGACCTGACTTAAGGCACACCATGGAAAGAGGAAAAAATTTGACAGTCAGAATTTGGAATCACAAGACAGCCCTTGCATACGCTTATAGCTTGAATTTGTAAAAACTTTTGTGTACTTTAAAAAACTCTAAAGGGCCAGGTGTGGTGGCTCATGCCTGTAATCCTATCACTTTGGTAGGCCAAGGCAGGAGGATTGCTTGAACCCAGGAGTTTGAAACCAGCCTGAGCAACATAGCAAGACCTCATCTCTACAAAAAAAATCAAAAAATTAGCTGGGTGTGGTGGCATGCAACTGTATTCCTAACTACTTAGGAAGCTAAGGAGGGAGGATCACCTGAGCCCAGGAGTTCAAGGCTGCAGTGAGCCATGATCATGCCACTGCACTCCAGCCTGGGCATCAGAGTGAGACCCTGACTTAAAAAATAAAGTAAAATTTAAAACTCCATAAACTAAGAAATGAATTTGAATTGATCTTTGGACTAGGGATTACTAAGGTTCCTGGCAGAAGCAAATGCATATATCCTTTCTGGAGGAACCTGCCTTCATTCCAGGCTTCAGCCACAAATGAAATTCCCAGGAAAGTGATCAGTCAAAAATAACTATAAACATACAAACACAAGACAACTTGTAACAATAACCTGCTAAAACAACTGACAGCAGAAACAGGCCCACAAGGACTTCAGTTAATATTTTACTAATGGATTAGAAACAACTAAAGAAAAAAATTAGTAAACTAGAAGATATGAGAAAAAAAGATCCAGAGTATAGCACAGAAAAAATAGATAAAAATTATAAAAGAGATGCTGAGTCATGAAGGATAGTGTGAGAAGGTCTAACATATATTTAATCATTCATTCACAAGGAGAGTGAGAATAGAGATGAAATAATTTAAATAGATAGTTGCTGAGAATTTTCTAGAACTAATGAAAGATGGCAGTCCACAGATCCTAGTAGCCCAGCAGATCTTCAGCAGGATCAATTTATAAGATAATCCATATCTAAGTACATCATAGTGATGCTGTAGTACATTAAGACAAAAAGATCTTAAGAAGGATTGGTATTCATAATACACAAGGAATTCCTATGGATCAGTAATAAAAATACAAGGCATAGAAAACTAGGCAAATGACTTGATATGGTGCTTTACCAAAGAGAAAGTTTGAATGACCAATAAACATGAAAAGATGCTCAGCTGCAATACTAATTAGATAAATACAAAGTAAAACCATGAAATATATCCACCAGACTAGCCAAAAAAAAAAAAAGGCAGGTGGTACTAAGACTTGTTGAGTAGGTAGTGAAGTGGGAACTGTCAAATAGTTCTGGTGGAAGTGTGAATTCATGTAATCATTTTGGAAGACAGTTTAGCAATACCTAGTAAATTTGAACATGTCCATACCCTAGGACATAACAGTTGAACTTGTCAGAATATTCCCAAGAGAAACTCTTGCTAATGTATCTGAGAGACACTTCTATATTTAGCAGCAGCATTATTTATTATAATAAAAAACTGAAAACAACCCAGATGTTCATTAGCAGATTGATTTAAATTAATTGTGGTTTATTCATTCAGTGGACTATTGGAGAGCAGAGAAAATTAGTAAACTAAACTTATATTTATTAACATGGTGAATCTCATGAACATAATGTTAAGCAAAAGAAGGCAAGTCTATTTAAATAAAGTTCAAAACAGAAAAACTAAAGTATTATTTAGGGATATATAAGTGATACAAAGGAAAACAAAGTAACTTTTGTTACAAAGTTCGGAATATTAATTACCCCTGGGGCTGAGGGAGGGGTTTGTGATTAAGGAGTGGCATGTAGGAAGAGTTTTAATTACTGGAAATGTTTTATTACTCTACTCTGGTGTTGATTTCACAGATGTTTGCCTTATTTTTCTTTTAACAACCAAAAAGAGAAGGTCTCAGAGGGGGGAATAAATAGTAGACCCTAATGTCACAATGAACAAAACTCCTGGTTGCTGAATGGGCTATTGAGATACTTTCATTCAATATTAGAATTTCTGGGCATGGTGGCTCATACCTGTAATTCTAGCACTTTGGGGGAGGCCAAGGCAGGAGGATTACTTGAGCACACAAGTTCGAGACCAGCCTGGGCAACAAAGCCTCTACAAAAAATACTAAAAAAAAAATTTTAACTGGATGTGGCGGTGCATGCCTGTAGTCCCAGCCCTTGGAAGACTGAGGTAGAAAGATCACGTGAGCCCAGGAGGGTAAGGCAAAGGTGTGCTGGATCCCGCCACTGTAACTCCAGTTTGAGCAACAGAGTGAGACCCTGTCACCATATAATTTAAAAAATTTAGAATTTAAGAGTGTAGAAAAAAAGGCCAGCTATAGACAAATATGACAAAACATGGAGAAAGAAAGGATTGTTTAAGAATCTTTTTTGAATCTGCTAGAGTTATGTCTTTAAAATGCAAAGTTTTAGGGGAGAGAGGGACATACCTCATTAACAAGGGTACCTGCATAATCAACGTTTGTATACCTAACCCTGAATTGTACCCCACATCTTTATAATTTAAAAAAAATGCAAAGTTTTAGTCAGGTGTTATGGCCTGTGCCTGTAGTCCCACCTGCTCCAGAGACTGAGGCGATTGAGGCAGGAATATCGCTTGAGCCCAAGAGTTCCAAGTTGTAGTGCTCGATCATTGTGCCTGTGAATAGCTACTGCACTTCAGCCTGAGCAGTGTAGCAAGACCTTGTCTCTAATTTTTAAAAAATTATATTAGTAATAAAACAATTATTCCCAAAGTAAAGAATTTCCATTTTTGCCATGTGGTAAGAGCACATGCCTAGGTTTGTATTATAATTCTTGTTGTGTGACCTCAGACAAATCAGTAACCTCTTTGTGACTTAGATTCTTTTACTGCCAGATGAGGAAAGTAATAGTAGCTATGATAGGAAGAGATTAAATGAGATAATATGTATAAAAGTTTTAGGATAGTGTGTTTCATGGAAAGTACTTTAAAAACTTTAGTTCCTGTTACTAGTTACAGTGGTGGTCTTAGTAAATTTTGTGCGTTAGTGAAATGTCTTAGTTCTTTGGAATATTGGTGACTTGGTAATCAGAGAATTGTAGGGATTTTCTGTGCCTATAAATTCATGTGCTATGACTTAACTGTTTCACCTACTCAGAGTTATGCCTCTAAGGCTCTTCCTTCACTCACATTTTAGTACTTCCTCTGTACATTGTAGATGTTGATGTATTGGTTAGACTGCATGGAATCAATTTCAGGAGAATTGAGCTCTGTCTTGGTTCTGTCCTGACCTACCATTGGCAGGTGAACCTCCGATTTTTCCTTAGAAAAATAATCTTTTAAAAAGATCACTGAGGTGCTTTAGTAAATTAATTTTTTAAGTCCTCCAAATTTTTTTTCACTTAATGTAAAAAGGTACACTATTTAATTTATTTGATATGAATTTTGTAGGTGAAAAGAAGTTAATTTGGCAAGTTTTGTGTGATTGGTATGAGGAGAATATTTCAATACTTAGAAATTATCTTTAATTTCTATTGAAATTAATTTTACTTAGACTCCTTATCTTATAAAAAATGAAGAATGTAAGTTTGTAATAAAGGAAATTTTGGCTTTTCTTCTTCACTGAGAAGTGTTTGGAAATTCATGAAGGCCTTATGAAGAGGATGAAATAAGCACAAGTCATTTCTTTTGAATTTTGAGTTACTATGTAAATAGATAATATAATCTGTTAACTGTGTGAACAAAAAGGTAAAATAGTACATAGTAGAAGTGTATGGATAATAACTATCCTTGTGGATTTTTAAACCTTGTGTTACAGCTGGGAACTTCTCCACTTCATCTGGCAGCACAGTATGGTCATTACTCCACTACAGAAGTACTGCTTCGAGCTGGTGTAAGTAGGGATGCCAGAACCAAAGTGGATCGAACACCGTTACACATGGCAGCTTCTGAGGGCCATGCCAGCATAGTAGAGGTTTTGCTTAAGGTATGTGTTCTCTTTTTGCACTTTGCTTTTGAAAGTAAGCCCGAAAACCTTTATGGTTTTTTAAGACAATACAAACTAGTTTTATTGAATACTTACTTAGGGTTTACCTGTGGTATCTCATTTTTTGTGTATATAAGCCCATTAAATGAAAATTATCTTAAAGTTTTAATTCCTGAGAGACTAAAAATTTTTTTAGTATATTCTCAGTTAAGTCAGATTTATTTCTGACTTAATTAATTAATTAATTTATTTCTTAGATCTTGGTCTACCTATGGTGAGGGACTACAGCTTTGCCTTAATACAATAAAAATGCTCATGGAAGGGAACACTAGGCTTGGGGGATTAACAAATAATATAAATAGGGGTTGTCTTTAATGACTAAATACCAAAAAGTGATATGGAGAATTATGAAACATTCTGGGTGATAGACATTATTCTAGATCCTTTTTATTATGGCTTCTAGATCAGCCTATCCAAAAGAAATATAATGTAAACCATAAATGCAAATCACATATACTGTATGTAATTCCACCTATTCTATTAGCTACATTTTTTAAAAGTAAAACGTAATTTTAATATTATATTTTATTTAGCCCAGTATTTAGAGAGATCATCATTTCAACATGAAATCAATATAAAATTATTAATTAGAAATTGTACATTCTGTATTTTGGTATTAAGTCTTTGAACTCCCATGTCTATACATACAGCACATCTCTCTTTTGTTGCTCAGGCTGGAGTGTGGTGGCATGATCGTGGCTCACTGCAGTCTCAGCTTCCTAGGCTCAAGCAATCCTTTCACCTCAGCCTCTCAAGTAGCTGGGACCTGGCTAGTTTTTTAATTTTTTTGTAGAGATGAGGTCTCTCTATGTTGCCAAGGTTGATCTCAAACTCCTGGGCTTAAGCAGTCCTCCTACCTTGACCTCCCAAAGTGCTGGGAATCACGTGTGCCACCACACCCAGCCTACCCACATTTCAAGTGCTTAATAGCTACATGTGTCTGTTGGCTATCTTTGGACAATATACCTCTCGATAGCTTCCTTTTAATTCCTTACGTTGTACTGGTTTTGTAAGCAAAAAATATTTTTGTGTAAATGAGGGAATAGGGGACCAACTCCCATACAGCATTAAAGCCCTTCATGTTGCCGGCTCGGTGGCTCAGCCTGTAATCCCAGCACTTTGGGAGGCCGAGGCGAGTGGATTGCCTGAGCCCGCGGGTTCGAGACCCACCCGGGCAACTTGGCAAGACCTCATCTCTACAATAAATAAAAAATTAACCGGGCGTGATAGCGCACACCTGTAGTTCCCAGCTACTTGGAAGGCTGAGGTGGAAGGATTGCCAGAGCCCAGTTTGTCGAGGCTGCGGTGGTCAGAAGCATGCTACTGCACTCCAGTCTAGGCAACAGAGTGAGACTCTAACTCAAAAAAAAAAAAGAGCTAGGCTCGGTGGCTCACCCTGTAATCTCGTGCCTTTGGGAGGCTGAGGTGAGTGGATTGCCTGAGCGCGTGGGTTCGAGACCCGCTCTGGGCAGCGAGACCTCATCTCTACAATAAATCAAAAAAATCAGCCGGGCGTGGTAGCGCATGCCTGTAATTCCGGCTACTTGGAAGGCTGAGGCGGAAGGATCGCCGGAGCCCAGCAGGTCAAGGCTGCGGTGGCCGGGAGCGGCCACTGCACTCCAGTCTGGGCGACCGACTGAGACTCCAACTCAAAAAAAAAAAAAGCCCTTCATGTCCATAGCTGTGTGACTGACAAAAATTGCCTCATGCCTAAGAAATGGGAAGGAAAGCAATTAGGAAAGTCAACATGATAGAAAAAATATTTAAATGACAGATGAGTAGTAATTGGCAAAACATGTATTTAACACAAAAAGTAAAGTTCTGATCATATTATTTGTCCTTTAAAGTAAAGGGACTGGTATTTTCACATCAAGAGTTCTTTATACAGCATTTCATATTTTGATAATCCCTTATTTTGAAATATTTTTGTAGCATGGTGCTGATGTCAACGCAAAAGACATGTTAAAGATGACAGCTCTGCATTGGGCCACAGAACATAATCATCAAGAGGTGGTGGAACTTTTAATCAAATATGGTGCTGATGTACACACGCAAAGTAAATTTTGTAAAACTGCATTTGATATTTCAATAGACAATGGGAATGAAGATTTAGCAGAGATATTACAGGTAACTTTTGGCTTTTAATTTGAGAAAAAGAAAAGGAAGCTTTATAAATAGCTAGATCTCTGTCTTATGGATAATTTAAACTATATAGCTTGTAGTTTTTCATTTTGCACTTAGTTATTTTGGACAGGCCTTTTTCTCTTTCACTTCCTCTTTGTTCATTATGTTCATGGTCCTGATTGTAAGACCACAGTCTTTTCATGTAACGTAAGATTAGATAAGGTGATTACTTTCTGTGTTTTAAGTTCCTGAATTCCTTTTCTAGATATTTTATTCTATCAATATTTTTGTTGCATTTTTGGATATTATATGGTTTTTCGAAGTCTATTATAAGTTACTTTATAAAACTTAAAAATTAAAAAGCAATTTTAGCAACCATAATAATGTCCCTTGAGTAAATGATGCAGTCTTTAGTCATTCTGATTTGTTACTCTTATTTTTCAACATTCTCAAAAAAATCTGTTGTGGACATAGTTGTTACTAGCTTTTGGACATGTTTTTCTAGTAACCAACATTACTTCTCTATTCTTTGGCTGGATGACATGATGTAAATTATCTTCTTTCCTTACTGTCTCTTTTTGCCTATCTTCTTGTTCCCTTTTCCAGTAGAACACTTCTTCTCTTAGACCATCTGACTCTTCTGAACTTTCGGTAGTTACTTAAAGGATGTTTTATGTTCAGAAAAATGAGTTTTACTATGTCTCTTCTCACTCTTTTACTCTTAAGAGTGCAGTTTGGGGGTTGGGGTTGAAGATGGTGAACAATTGGGAAGATCATGCTTTATATATGTGGTGTAATATATTGATGAATATAGTACAAGAAATAATTAAATTCCTATAGATACAGGGCAGAATATCTACCTATAAATAGACATTTAAAAATCTACATATAAATATCTCTATATATCTATCTATACATAGATATATAGATAGTTTTTTTTTTTGGTCTCACTGTGTTGCCCAGGCTGGTCTTGAACTCCTGGGCTCAAGCAATCCTCCCACCTCAGCCTCCTAAGTGGCTGGGATTACAAGTGGCCACGCCCCACTTAATGTCCAGTTTTTCTGTGTTCTGTGAAAGCCTTTTAGATACCCATATCTCCTCTCACAGAATTTTGCTGCTTTACCTAAGAGCAAGACTTGGGATATAAATACTAACCTATGATTTATTACTATACTCTCAGTGGACCATAGACAGATATTTCCATGTGTATTATATGATTCCTCCTAGAGAATGTTCCTTTATATGTGTGATTGTATTATATGGAGAATTTTTGCTGTATGTTCTGGTTATAATTCTGAAAGCATTGTGGTGATTTGTCCCCTAGATTGCTATGCAGAACCAAATCAACACAAACCCAGAGAGTCCTGACACTGTGACGATACATGCTGCAACACCACAGTTTATCATCGGACCTGGCGGGGTGGTGAACCTAACAGGTCTGGTATCTTCAGAAAATTCATCCAAGGCAACAGGTATTGAGATGCACATAGGATAGCTGTTGGGATTTTATGCTTTAGTAGGTATTCATCCTTTTAAGAAAGGACTGTTGGAGAATAAGGGTAAGATTATATTAGCCACTTTGGTTTTCTTTGATATAATTGGCAAAAAAACCCCACAAATTTTTGTGAGAGAAAACAATCTAAAGAAAGGTAATATTGCAAAATATACTACCACATTACCTTTCAAAAACTAACGCTATCCAAGCTTCATTTAAGAGTTGAATAAGATAAATAGAATACCAGAAATACACATAGGATTAAGCTCCTTAGAAATTCAAATCTATTTTCTTTTTTCTTACAGATGAAACGGGTGTATCTGCTGTTCAGTTTGGAAACTCTTCAACATCAGTATTAGCTACATTAGCTGCCTTAGCTGAAGCCTCGGCGCCATTGTCCAATTCTTCGGAAACTCCAGGTTAGAAAAACAGGTCAAATATGTACATTAAAAGTTGCATACTCAAATACTCACAAAAGCCAGGAAGGTAATAAAACATTAAAGTGTACAGGTTTGAGATTATGCCCAGCAGAAGAGTGTGGGGCAGGGGACGTCTGCAACTCAGCTCTATTTGATTATAGTCATGAACCTAGTGTTGCTAGATTCTGTGTTTTTTTGATTTTTTTAATGTATTTTTTTGAGTTGGAGTCTCACTCTGTTGCCCAGGCTAGAGTACAGTGGCATGCTCATGGCCACCACAGCCTCGATCTGCTGGGCTTAGGCAATCCTTCCTCCTCAGCCTTCCAAGTAGCTGGAACTACAGATGCATGCCATCACATCCGGCTAATTTTTTTATATTATATTGTATGTTTTGTATTTTATTGTAGAGATGAGGTCTTACCAAGTTGCCCAGGCTGGTCTCGAACCCGTGGGCTCAGGCAGTCCTCTCACCTTGGCCTCCCAAAGTGCTGGGATTATAGGCATGAGCCACTCTGCGCTGCTTGTTTTTTTTATATTTAAAGAGGTTTATTCTGAGCCAATATGACTGACCACGGCCTGGGGAAAAACACAAACCCAAGATGCCTTGAGCAAGTTGTCCCAAGTCAATTAGGTGACAACTGTTTTATGTGTTTTATTTTATTTAATTTTAATTTTAATTTTATTTTTTGAGTTAGAGTCTCACTCTGTCACCCAGACTGAAGTGCAGTGGCCACTCCCACCCACTGCAGCCTCCACCTGCTGGGCTCCTGAGATCCTTCCGCCTCAGCCTTCCAAGTAGCTGGAATTACAGGCATGCGCTACCGTGCCCGGCTGATTTTTTTTTTAATTTATTGTAGAGATGAGGTCTCACCAAGTTGCCCAGGTGGGTCTCGAACCCGCGGGCTCAGGCAATCCACTCACCTCAGCCTCCCAAAGGTGTGGGATTACAGGCTGAGCCACCGAGCCCGGCTTGTTTTATATATTTTAAGGAAGTAGAAGTTTCAGGCAAAATCATAAATTAGTATATGGAACTTATAAATTGGTTTAGCCCAAAAATGCAGAATTCTGGTTTTTATAGGAAGCTGAAAATCTGGATTTGAAAAGAATATTAAATCTTGGCAACTAATTGAAATTGAAAAAAAAAAAACTTGTGTAACTTACAGAAAACATGTCCTTATATCAAATTTGGCCCTTGTTTTACCAGTTTGTGAATTTTTGTCTAAATAGCTTACTCTCTTTTTCATAAATTTTAAAGTTTTAGCAGTTCTGTTAGAATGTTATGAAATCTAAATAACTGTTAGAGCTAGGAAATAGTATACAGAAACCATCATTAAAGGGTTATCTGGGCTGAGTGGGGTGACTCACGCTTATAATCCCAGCACTTTGGGAGGCTGAGGTGAGAGGATTTTCTGAGCCCACAAGTTCAAGACCAGCCCAGGCAACTTGGTGAGACCTCATCTCTACAATAAATCAAAAAAAGAAATTAGCTTGGCGTGGTGGCACGTGCCTGTAGTTCCAGCTACTTGGAAGGATGAGCCGGAAGGATCACCTGAGATTAGCAGGTTGAGACTACAGTGGCCGTGAACGTGCTACTGCACTCCAGCCTGGGCAACAGAGTGAGACTCCAACTCAAAAAAAAAAAAATTTCAAAAAAATATATAAAGGGTTACTGTTGTTAAATGATGATATGTTATATTAATGAATAGATGATTTAGACAAAGCTTACCTTTATGTGTAACTAAAATACTTTGTGCTGTAATGATTATGGAAGTATAGTTTTTGGGTTTTTAAAATTTATTTTATTTTAAAGCTGTGGGGTACAATTCAGGATCAGGTATACAAGTCATCATCGTACAGGTAAAGTTTGGACCTACCTTTTGTCCCCACTTGTCTGGTTTGAGATCAGGTACTCTTATTAATGTTTTGTGCTCCCCCAAAGTATTTTTTTAATTAGGAAATTTTTTAAATTCCAAGAAAATAGGCCGAGCACAGTAGCCTATGCCTGTAATTCTAGCACTTTGGGAGGCCAAAGCAGGAGAATTGCTTGAGCCCAGGAGTTTGAGACCAGCCTAGGCAACATAGTGAGACCTCATATCTACAAAAATTCAAAAGATTTATCTGGGCATGGTGGTGCATGCCTATAGTCCCAACTACTCAAGAGACTGAGGTGGAAGGATCACCTGAGCTTAGGAGGTCAGGGCTGGGGTAAGCCTTGATCACGCCACGGCACTCCACTCGTTGGCTCAGGATACACCTCTTTAAATAAAAAACAAAACAAAACAAAACAAAAAACACACAGAATCTAGCAACACTGGGTACGTGACTATAACCAGCTTAGAACTAAGTCGCAGATGGCCCCTGCCCTTGCCCCACACTCTTCTGCTGGGCATAATCTCAATCCCAAACCAAAATTAAATACATTCCAAGAAAACAATCTTCTTACTATAGTGTAAGCAATTATATTTGAATCAATGCTTATAAAAGTAAAGAACAATTTGTTGTCATTCATTCTTTAAATTAGTATTTTTTTCAACATTTGATCAGTTATAATAAAAATAACAGTTCATTAAATGCTTACTCTTGTGCTAGGCCCTGTGTTAAATGGTCTTTGTTTTATTTATGATCTCATTTAATCATCACCGAAAAGCTTTAAGGTAGATATTACTGGATTTCTTCTGACTAGGGGTGTGGGGGAGACCCTACCTTTTTATTTTCTCTTCTTTTTTTTCTTCCTTTTCTTAACTAGTGATGATAAACATTTATCCATGCTCTATCTTCTTTAGAATCATAATCAAACTTTGAATCTAAATCTTTACATTTGAGAGCCTTAAGATTTTCCTGAATCACTTTTGGCCATGAGCTGTTACGTACATCATCATATTGATATGTGACTTTTATAACCTTTGTCTGATTTCTTTAGCACTCTTGTAATTGCAGAAGAAGCATATCAAAGAAAACGGAGTTCATTGCTAGTTTATATTTGGTTAAACTTGCAATTTTTCTTCTTCATTTTTTTGAGTTGGAGTCTCACTCCGTCGCCCAGGCTGGAGTGCAATGGCTTGCTCACAGCCACTGCAGCCTCAACCTGCTGGGCGCAGGCAATCCTTCCACCCCAGCCTTCCAAGTAGCTGGAACGTGCTATGACGCCTGGTTAATTTTTGATTTATTGTAGAGACAAGGTCTCACCAAGTTACCTGGGCTGGTCTCGAACCCGTGGGCTCATGCAAACTACTCACCTTAGCTTCCCAAAGTGCTGGGATTACAGATTGAGCCACCGAACCTGGCTGCAATTTTTCTCCTTTAATTAAATTACGTATCTCTGAAAATGAAATGGCCTTTCTTGAAAGTCAGCCAGAAATTCTGATATTTAGAATTAACTTAGTAAGCATCTGACTTACTTAAATAATATAACTCAGTAAGCATTTGGCTCCATGAAGTGGCCACATCAATTTCTCTAACTTTTTCTACCTTTGAAAATGTTATGGTCTAGTCTGAAAGAATCAGTAATTTCAATGGACTTTTATTGCATGTGACTTAGAATCTTCTATGAGAATAATTTTTCATTTCAATGCTACATCATAGTGGAGTTTTTTGAAGATATTTTAAGAGCTTGAATTAAGTAAAAATTCAGGTAAGTATGTTGCCAACAGCTGAAGTATGTAATCAAATACAGGAATACATTCTCAAAGCTCAGTTTGCACATGTATCTTTTTTTTGTTGTTTTTTTTTTGAGTTGGAGTCTCACTCTGTCGTCCAGACTGGAGTGCAGTGGCCGCTCCCGGCCACCGCAGCCTCGACCTACTGGGCTCTGGCGATCCTTCCGCCTCAGCCTTCCAAGTAGCCGGAATTACAGGCATGCGCTACCACGCCCGGCTGATTTTTTGATTTATTGTAGAGATGAGGTCTTGCTGCCCAGGCAGGTCTCGAACCCGCGGGCTCAGGCAATCCACTCACCTCAGCATCCCAAAGGCACGGGATTACAGGCTGAGCCACTGAGCCCGGCGCACATGTGTCTTTTCAAGGGCTTGTTACTATCTGGAAAATATAGTGGTAGTACCTCCATTTTACATATGATGTTTGTGGAATTTGAATAATTTTATCTAAGGTCACATGGCTTTTAAGTGGTGAAAAGAGGATTATGCTTACAGTCTGATTGATTCCCAGGCTGTATGTCTGTGACCACTATAATTCACTGTTTCTCCTATACAGTTTCTTAAGGTGATCTGTGGGCTGGTCCCTTTTAGAATGTTTATAATTTGGTTTGTGATATTTACATTATAGAATGCAGAAATATTTGCATAATTACCCATTTGTTTTATATAGAGCAAAAGCATCACTACTCCTACTTTTACTTCTGGGATGTGTATGTCTCTGTAGCTTTTTCTAGTAATAAGTAGTCTATTGAAATAAGTGTTTTGCTACTATCTTATTCTTTTAAAATGATTGTAGACCAAAATATAGTATAAGACCTATTAATACACTAATTGTTACTGCTCATATCCTTTTATTTTACTAGCTAAGTGGCGTAATAGCATTTTTTTCTGGATACAAAGTAGCCAGAGTGTGACAGCATATAGACCACATTTTAAATGGAAGCGGGCTGGTTGGCATAGTCCTATATATAAAGACAAGGCAATTGTGATAGTCTAGGGCAGAGGTCCCCAAGCCCCAGTGTCTGTGGCTTGTTAGGAACTGGGCTACCCAGCAAGAAGTGAGTAGCAGGCAAGCAAGCAAAGCTTCATCTGTTATCTGCAGCCACTCCCCATTGCTCCCATTACGGCCTGAGCTTGGCTTCCTGTCAGATCAGTGGCAGCAATACATTCTCACAGGAGAGCAAACCCTGTTGTGAACTGCGCATGCAAGGGATCTAGGTTGCATGCTCCTTATGAGAATCTAGTGCCTGATGATCTGAGGTGGAGCTAAAGTGATGATGCTACCACTGGGGAGTGGCTGCAAATACAGATTTATATTAACAGTGAGGTTTGACTGCACAGAAACCA